CCTGCCTCAGCTGGACCCTGCCCATCACATCCCTGCCTCAGCTGGACCCTGCCCATCACATCCCTGCCTCAGCTGGACCCTGCCCACCACATCCCTGCCTCAGCTGGACCCTGCCCATCACATCCCTGCCTCAGCTGGACCCTGCCCACCACATCCCTGCCTCGGCTGCTGGGTTTGGCGAGGAAAAGCCAAGCCCTTGCCTGGCTGTGGGTACCAGCTCACAGCCAGAGGCAGGACACCAGCTCAAGACATGGTTTGTTCACACCCTGGTGACCTCTGTGCTGGGTTACACCGAGTTCCACACCTCTGAGGCATGGGCTTTTTCCTTGGGCAGCAGAAAGGCAGCCAGGGCTGGAAGAGTATCCCAGGGCATGCCCAGCTCTGAGCGTGGCTCCCTTCGGCAGCCACAGAGCACAGCCCACAGCACAAGCACCGCTGAAATGCATCTTAATCCAATTAAACTCTCACCCCCACTGCTCTTACCAACAGGCTCTTCCAAAAGCTCATCCCTAAGGGGAGACAGATTCAATTTACCTGTGCCAGATTGGAAGGGACCTGCAGGGTTAGAGGGGAGCCTGCTCCGCAACATTCTTCCCCCAGATGTGGCAACTGCAATGGCAGTAAAACAAAAATGAGAAAATGCGGGTAGAAGACGCTGTCCCGTCTCTGCAGACCTCATGAGATGCATGTAATCCCTTTATCTCCAAAGCCTCCGCTCCTTCGGAGCGCATAATTATGAAAAGAGTTAAAGCTGAGGCTCTTAATGTCTCTTCTAGGCACTTCTTTATTCCACTCAAGGCACCAGTCACATCTGAATTATTTCCTGGGGTTGTTTGGACTTCCTATTATACAGGGATGATTATGGTGAACCTTGGGATGGAATCCAAGTTGGATCTCAGCATTACCATGTTTGATTGAAAGGGGAGCTGAAGGTTTGTTGACAGTGTGCCAAGCTTCAAACCTCGCTGGACAATGCTGCTGCCAGCAGGCCAGAGGCTTCCAGAGAGGAGAGGGAGAAAACTACCAACAGTGAAGCTGAAAAATGGGTTTATGAGGTCAGATGCATACCCCACAGATTAGGATGGGGGAAAAAAAGGGAACTGTGCATATTGCCAGAGGACTGTGAGAATGACGCTTCTTGGAAATCCCATGGGACAGCCACGAGAGAATCCTGATGGTTTCTCAGGATGCAAAGCGCCTGGAGTCATTGATTTTTTTTCCCCACGAAAGTACGGGTCTGGAGCACCATGACCACTGCA